CCTAAGCCTAAGCCTAAGCCTAAGCCTAAGCCTAAGCCTAAGCCTAAGCCTAAGCCTAAGCCTAAGCCTAAGCCTAAGCCTAAGCCTAAGCCTAAGCCTAAGCCTAAGCCTAAGCCTAAGCCTAAGCCTAAGCCTAAGCCTAAGCCTAAGCCTAAGCTAAGCCTAAGCCTAAGCCTAAGCCTAAGCCTAAGCCCCCAAGCCTAAGCCTAAGCCTAAGCCTAAGCCTAAGCCTAAGCCTAAGCCTAAGCCTAAGCCTAAGCCTAAGCCTAAGCTCCAAGCCTAAGCCTAAGCCTAAGCCTAAGCCTAAGCCTAAGCTCCAAGCCTAAGCCTAAGCCTAAGCCTAAGCTCCAAGCCTAAGCCTAAGCCCAAGCCTAAGCTTCCAAGCCTAAGCCTAAGCCTAAGCCTAAGCCTAAGCCTAAGCTCCAAGCCTAAGCCTAAGCCTAAGCCTAAGCCTAAGCCTAAGCCTAAGCCTAAGCCTAAGCCTAAGCTTCCAAGCCTAAGCCTAAGCCTAAGCCTAAGCCTAAGCCTAAGCCTAAGCCTAAGCTTCCAAGCCTAAGCCTAAGCCTAAGCCTAAGCCTAAGCCTAAGCCTAAGCCTAAGCCTAAGCCTAAGCCTCAAGCCTAAGCCTAAGCCTAAGCCTAAGCCTAAGCCTAAGCCTAAGCCTAAGCCTAAGCCTAAGCCTAAGCCTAAGCCTAAGCCCCAAGCCTAAGCCTAAGCCTAAGCCTAAGCCTAAGCCTAAGCCTAAGCCTAAGCCTAAGCCTAAGCCTAAGCCTAAGCCTAAGCCTAAGCCTAAGCCTAAGCCTAAGCCTAAGCCTAAGCCCAAGCCTAGGCCTAAGCCTAAGCCTAAGCCTAAGCCTAAGCCTAAGCCTAAGCCTAGCCTAAGCCTAAGCCTAAGCCTAAGCCTAAGCCTAAGCCTAAGCCTAAGCCTAAGCCTAAGCCTAAGCCCTAAGCCTAAGCCTAAGCCTAAGCCTAAGCCTAAGCCTAAGCCTAAGCCTAAGCCTAAGCCTAAGCCTAAGCCTAAGCCTAAGCCTAAGCCTAAGCCTAAGCCTAAGCCTAAGCCTAAGCCTAAGCCTAAGCCTAAGCCGAAGGGGCGCTAACCCATTGATAATATGACGCTGCATCAAGGGGAGGTGTTGATGGTGCTATCGAGCCGGATATTCGTGGCAACAGGTTCAAATTATGATGGCAATTTAGCCGGCAAATGGGAAAATGAGCTCGGTCCCTACGCCTAAGCCTGGTTCTAGGATTGGCTGTTTCCCTCCTCCGACCCAACGTTCCCACATGTGTTAAGGCTTCCTGCGGGTATCCGAATAATACGCGGCATTCGCCACTCCAGTTTATTCCTCGTGGACACCGCATCGTCCAAACCGAATCGTCGCAAAGATTTATTAATTAGCTTCTCGGAAAAGACCTATATAAATCTGTACCGAAGGCTTTGCTATCAGAGTGTCGAAATTCTTAATGCCGAAATTTCAATATGGCGACATTTTATGCAGGGTATTTAGGAGATTCTGATGCGCCTTGTACATCGCAGTCGCGCAGTTTTTTTCCCAATGATAGTATACGGCCCTGTCACTAAATATAAATAATTGTTGTAGAATCATGCACCGTCGCAGATCACAAAGTTAGAAAAATGTCTGCCTTTTCAGTCAAAAACCAGGGTTGAACAGCCGCTTCGCGACTTTTCAACTCTGGCCCCGTCTGATCCCATGATATACGATGATCCCTAAGCTCATCCCCTTATATTCTTTCCCGTGTATAATTCTCGCGATCTTCGGTGTCAAAAAGTGAGAAACGCTACCTCTCTTCCCTTTTGTAGGCTACCGCAACTTCCGGTGTATGCTAATTGCTTCCTAACAAAGAGGGTGGCCGATCTTTGAACAAAACTTGATTTTAACCTCGAAAACAGCTAATTTTTGAAACTTTATGATTGTGCAGCCATCCCAAGGCCAAAACGCACCTAATGAAGTATAATACACCAGCCGATTACAGCCGCGTCGCGGCTGTAATCGGCTGGCCTTCGGGCTACCTTCCATATTCTACACCACCACATTCCTTCCCTAACTTTATCAATATCCGTGCTGATGGCTTTAGATACCCCCCATAGCCGAAACCCCCGTTAAAACACTACTTAGAAAACTCCTGATGGCTCCAAATACGCCCCATAGCCGAAATCCCCTTCAAAAACTACCTAAATACCTTCCTGATGGCTTCAGATACCCCCCATGGCTGAAATCCCCTTCAAAAATTACCTAAATACCTTCCTGATGGCTTCAGATACCCCCCCATGGCTGAAATCCCCTTCAAAAATTACCTAAATACCTTCCTGATGGCTTCAGATACCCCCCATGGCTGAAATCCCCTTCAAAAACTACCTAAATACCTTCCCGATAGCTACAGATACCCCCCATGGCTGAAATCCCCTTCAAAAACTACCTAAATACCTTCCTGATGGCTTCAGATACCCCCCATGGCTGAAATCCCCTTCAAAAATTACCTAAATACCTTCCTGATGGCTTCAGATACCCCCCATGGCTGAAATCCCCTTCAAAAACTACCTAAATACCTTCCCGATAGCTACAGATACCCCCCATGGCTGAAATCCCCTTCAAAAACTACCTAAATACCTTCCTGATGGCTTCAGATACCCCCCATGGCTGAAATCCCCTTCAAAAATTACCTAAATACCTTCCCGATAGCTTCAGATACCCGCATGGCTGAAATCCCCTTCAAAAACTACCTAAATACCTTCCTGATGGTTTAAAATACCTCCCCTAGCCCGAAATCCCCTTAAAAAACAAAAATAACGACCGACCGGATGGAATGAGAGAAAAAAAGAAATGAAATCCCCCGTGAAAATTTTCATCCACGAAACGCGCGCGACCTGGCTCACTATGTCCAAAATCACCCCAACCTCTGTCCCCCACCCCTTTTACTAAAGAAAAAACTTTCAAAGTTAATTTTAATAATTTTAACTAAAAGTTTTTCATAATTTTTTTATCAGTTTGGGGGTTTCTGACCACGCTCTATCCGAATCCGAAGAGACCTAAGCTCTAGCTCCTTTCCCCTTCGAGTTGAATCCGGGACACGACGGACAGACAGACAGACAGACAGACGAACGCCTCTACTTTTTTATTATAGTTGATACCCCTAACTACCCCCTTTAATGAGATACTACTGGAACACGCTGACGGAAGTTGCATGCAAAGTGGCACACACACAGACACTATTTTTTTATATAAAGTAGAATATATCAGGTTGGAAAGAAAGTAATGGCACAAAATCTGTGAACCGCTGGTAAAACCCGTAGGAACGTCTGATTTGAAAGTTTCATATGTTTGGTAGATCTTCGGATGCTCTATCCCGAGACGACCCTTAAAGCACACAAAACCTGACCTACGCGAAGATACAGGACTCAGAAGTTTGGCGAAAAATTAGGTGAAAGCTTCCAAGCGAGATATTTTTGCATAAATGCATTTGCATACCATACCTTTAACACTAATCGATAGCCCTCGACGAGTAGATATCGATGAATGTTGAGATCATCAAAATCGGACACTGGATGGCCGAGATATGGTCTCTAGAAATTTGGTCCAATTCTTAGAACTGTTCTCGAAATCCCATACATTTTGGCCTGCGCGAGCAAAAACTGCTGCGTTTCCTACAGGCCCCGAACCAAAATCCAGAAAATGCATTGATTTTGGAAGGCCCATGTCTCGGCCATCCAATGTCCGATTTTGATGATCTCAACATCCCGATATCTACTCCTCAAGAGCCATCGCTTGGTGTTAAAGGTATGGTATGCAAATGCATTTATGCCGAGATATCTCGCTTGGAAGCTTTCACGTAATTTTTCGCGGAACTTCTGAGGCCTGTATCTTCGCGTACGTCAGTTTTTGTGTGTTTTAAGGGTCGTCTCGTGATAGAGTATCCAAAGATCTACCAAACCATATATGAAACTTTCAAATCAGACGTTCCTGCGGGTTTTACCAGCGGTTCAAAGATTTTGCGCCATTACTTTCTTTCCAACCTGATATAGTAGTATGACCGAACCATGACCCAAACCGGTCAACCTTTACGATTTTTAAACATTTTATCAAAAAAGTTTATATTTTGGTTTTGTGGCCGTACAGGCGAGCCGAGAAAAATCAGTTTCCCCCCTGCTAACAGTCCAGTACCCGTTACGAAATGCCGATACCATACATCGCACACCCTGCATCTTGCACCTTTGGGCTCAATCGATGCGTGGAATTTTCGGCAAGCCTTGCGCCTATTCAATGCGCTCGCGCAATCCACCGCAAATTGGAGCGCTGGCGGAAAGTGGAGGGGGGGGGGGAGGCCTAAGCAGTGACTGGTCTCCCTGCTGCGTATACTACCCGCCCATTGTATCCGCGTCAAGCCCCGGCCGATACTTTTGTTCACATGTCCTACATAGCTTCCCTTCGAAATTCGCCGTTATTTACCACCCATGTTCACGAGCTCCAAATGGCACTAGCATGCTTAGTATAGTAGGCTTAGGCTTAGGCTTGGGCCTAGGCTTAGGCCTGTTTGGTTATCGACGACAAATTTGGTCCTTGTCAAAATCGCTGGACGGCCGGTAGTTGCTCATCTGCTGCATCTAAGTTTTCATTTTGACTGCGCTGATTTTTCAGGGGCGTAGACAGAAAAAAATTTCGGGGCCACGAAAAATTTTTTTTGAAAAACTCAAAAAATTAACGAGAAAACAACGCCGCAGGCGAAAAATTTTGGAAAAAAGGTTATATAGCTCTACAAATAGCAGTAAAAACGTGAAAAAAATAGCGCCGCAGGCAGCAAAATTTTTGAGAAAATAAAAATCATAAGGGTCCCCCTTCTGAAATTTTCGGGCCCCGGCCGATTTCGGGGGGGGGGGGGGGGGGGGGCTGGCCCAGGGGGGCCCACCTTATGATACGTCCCTGCTCCTAATACCTTAATATGTTTGTGTGTCTGTGGCCTAAACCAGAAAAATTCGACTTGCAGAAGATGCGGTGGTGGGGTTGTTTCCTGTTGCTGGCCCTGCCGGTGTCCGCTTCTGCTATTCAATGCTATTCCGGCAGTCAACTGCAAATGCTCGAATGTCCTGCCACATCATGCATCAAACAAACGCTGCAAAGTGACACGGTAAGTATTGATCGATCGGTTCGAACCTAGGTGCGCAGATGTTTTTAAACTTCCCTATATTGAAGCATTTCAAACATAATGACATGTTTCCGACATGTACACCACAACCAAAGTAAGCCAAACAAGAATTCCACGTAAAGTTCAGGTGGTGGGTTGGTATGGGACCCCACTTATTTTGCGCAGAATTTTTCGCCGATTGCGGTGCCGTTCGAGCCAAAAGAGGCGCTTTTGGGTGCAGTTCTAAAATTTTTTGAAATCAGGGATAGCCATTCCGCAAAAAAGAACAACGGGGTTTTGTTCAGAATCGAATTCTCTATCGAATGAGGTCAGTTTCGTCAGGTTTTGCCGATGACTCAAAAAAGCATTCCTTGTTAGGCGTAGCTAGGGCTCACACAAACGAAGCCCAGGCTTAGCTTGAGCCATGCTTAACTCTAGCTAGCCGTAAATGAACTCATTCGGACCTAAGCCACGCTTGGATTGGGCTTAATCTTAAGTCTAATACTAAGCTAAATTAAGCCTAGGCTTAAGCTAAAAATCAAGTAGCTTAAAGGAGCACTATTAGCAGCTTCGTTTTTTCCAATCTTGGAAAAATTTGCATGCGAGATGTCTGTGTCCCTCAATAGGGCGTGCTCTCTAGCCGGGAATGCATGCAAATTTTTCCACGGTTCATGGAAAAACGATCCATAGACAGGGAAAGAGCCGCTTTCAGCGGAGCGCCCTGTGTAGTACGTACCGATACTGAGGTGTAAAAACTAGCCCAGCCCCTATGTTGTGTTGGCATCATCGCAAATCCTTCCGGTTCCGTCCAGTGCCCCCGTCCGCCCCCTAGGCAAATCACGTTGCCCATACCAATGCTTTACGAGCGTTTTAGCTTCCTCCTAAATTCGCCGTCCTGTCGATCCCTAGGTTGCCAAGTTGCGTTTTATGCAAATTGCTGGGGTTTGTTCCGAACTTTTAAATGAGGCATTGGTGCATGTAGTATTATGGTCATCTTTTTCTTATAGTGTTATGCCGCCAAGGCAGCACTAGTGGGCTTCTAGATTGGAACCTCAAATTCATGACAATTTCCGCGTTCGTCCTTGAGAGGATCTATCGCAATTGAAGGGTGCTCGTGTCCTGGTTGGTGTCTACCATCGAGGGCAGGGGGGAACCATTAGGATATAGTCTGTACTCTGCATAGCTCCTCCTGAACCCCATGAGAAGAATATGGAATTCCCTTCGGCGCTGTAAAGGGGTCCCAATATAAAAATCCCCTCTAACTCGATGCATGAGTAGTGGATCAGAACCATTTGGAAGCCCATGAAACTGCGAGTAGGCAGCAATCATCAAAACCATGTTTTTTTGTTTAAACCCGCTCTTTTACAAGCCATTTTGTAGCATTCTACATTTTTCGCGGTTGTCTGAAGCTAACCCGGGCGGGGAAATTTCACGAATGTTCCTCCCGTGGAAGAAATGAGCCAACGCCGGCGATAATGCTTTTGCTGGCGTTAACTTCATAACGCCGATTTACATAATGTAATTTGTTTGTCTGCTCCAGGCCCGAATTTCCTCTAAGAGCATGGTGTGCGGTAGCGAACGATTAATGTCATACCTGTACGACCACGTCTCCCATATTTCGCTATTAAAATTCAGTTTTTGTAAAAATCTTGGCTTCCCTCTTTGTTAGGGAAAAATTAGCATACGCCGGAAATGGAGGTGGCTTTGAAAAAGGAAGGGAAGGCGTGGTTTTCATTTTTGGTGATCGGTTTTCGGCAAGAATTATGCAAAGTCAATACTTTCGTAGGTCCTAGACGGGGCCAGGGTTGAAAAGCCGCGAAGCGGTTTTTCAACCCTGGTAGAATATCAAAAATGTTTCTAGCATCTTTAAAAGGGTGAGAATTGCCATGCGGCGTTTTTGTGGTTCGCCTGGACTGCCATCTCCCTTCACTCGCGGCTCGTCTCCCTTGGGGCTCTGCCCCTTGGCTCGCTAACAATAATGCCAATTTTGTATAACCAGATGGTTACAGTCGCTTCGCGACTGCAACCATCTGGCCTTCGGGCTACCCTACATGTCTCACTCCACCACATCCTTTGCCTCCTCCATCAATACCCCCCATAGCCGAAATCCCGTTCAAAAACTACCTAAATACCTTCCTGATGGCTTCAGATACCCCCCATGGCTGAAATCCCCTTCAAAAACTACCTAAATACCTTCCTGATGGCTTCAGATACCCCCCATGGCTGAAATCCCCTTCAAAAACTACCTAAATACCTTCCTGATGGCTTCAGATACCCCCATGGCTGAAATCCCCTTCAAAAACTACCTAAATACCTTCCTGATGGCTTCAGATACCCTTCGCGACCTAAGCTGAAATCCCCTTCAAAAACTACCTAAGTACCTTCCTGATGGCTTCAGATACCTCCCCTAGCCGAAATCCCCTTAAAAAACAAAAATAACGACCGACCGGATGGAATGAGAGAAAAAAAATGAAATCCCCCGTGAAAATTTTCATCCACGAAACGCGCGCGACCTGGCTCACTATGTCCAAAATCACCCCAACCTCTGTCCCCCACCCCTTTTACTAAAGAAAAAACTTTCAAAGTTAATTTTAATAATTTTAACTAAAAGTTTTTCATAATTTTTTTATCAGTTTGGGGGTTTCTGACCACGCTCTATCCGAATCCGAAGAGAGCTAAGCTCTAGCTCTTTTCCCCTTCGAGTTGAATTCGGCTTCGGACGGACGCGTCAAGAAAATTATTATAGTTGATGGCGATTGTCATGATGCCGATTGCATATTGCCAATTACCAGAAAAGCCGATTTTAGTCATGGCGAGTTTCATAAAGCCGATTCTTATAATGCCAATGCTCATAATGTCAAATCTGCGCCTAAGCGGTCAATATCGATTTGTCACTTCGTCTTCCTTATTTTTTGCATTTTACGATAAACAGAAAAATACTTTTTAAGATAGCGAACTCCCGATTTTTCCTGGAAAATATCCCTTCACCAAAAATTTCGAAACCGTCTTGGAAAATTCAACCTTCGATACTCTCATGGAGATGGTTTTTCTGGGAGTTTTGTGCAACAATTAATGGTTAGAAAGTTCAGTAGAACCGCCTAGAATGTCTTGCAAAAAAACTAATATCCATTGGGAGGACAATGGTTTAGCACCCCGCCCACAGTGGCTAATCGGCATTATGGGAATCGGCAGCATCAGGATCGCCATCCTAAGAATCGGTCTTCAAAAAATCGGCTTTATGTAAAGTCTGCATTTTGAAAATCGGCGTTATGAAAATCGGCATCACGACTTAAACCCCTTTTGCTGGACCCTGTACGTGTAGCCTGAATCAAAACTTCTTCTACTTTCCAAATTACAGGTGCGCTACTGTGACGGTGTCGGGGTGTCTTCTATCTGCCAAACGTATCGTGTCCTAGAGACCTGCGAACAAATCCCTGGAATCGGCCATCTTTGCTGCTGCACCAAGGATCTGTGTAACAACACCCCCACGATGATCTACAGTCTTGTTGCTTCGATTTTAGGTGTCTTTATCATTATCTAAGCCTATTGTCAGGGTGTTCCAAAAAAGTTCACGGTCTGGGTATCTATCCAAGCCCTCTGAACGGCGAGAAAATATGCACTTGTAGTTTTTAAACCTAGGCATTTTAATTCGCAAATTTAGGACCGAACGCCCTCGAGAACTGCAGATTTATGCGATTTATCCGCATGCCAATTGCACATCTCAAGCTGATTGCACACTTTTAAGAAAACGTTCAGTATCGTGCGAAGGCTCAGCAATTTTTGAAAACGAAAAGCGCTTGTTTTCTTTATTATCTAGCGTTCGAGTGGTACACCAATCCTCCCGACGGACCTCTCGCCGGACCGCTAGAGGGCAGGGTCTATTTTTTTTGGGACACCCTATAAGCCGTTAAACTTATTTCCTTGTGCTGATTCCGTTTCTGCGGCTCCCCGAACTTTGCGGCGATCCCTTTTGCGGCGCGCACTTTGCGGCGCGAATTTTGCGGCCGAATTTTGCGGCGCAACAGATATTAATGGAAATAATTTTAATTTAGAATTTTTTTGAGTTCAGAATCAGATTTCAGAGAAATTTCATAAATTCAGAATCAGAATCACCGCCAGTTTTGTTTTTGGGTGCTAATGCACTTGGGGGGGGGGCAGCCCGGATTTTGACTACAAGACGCTTCAAATGCCAGTTTTTAAACTCGAATCCTATGGAAAAGCTAAGCTAAGCTTAAGCCTAGGCTTAGCTTCATACAAACGCAGCCTGGGCTTAGCTTCAGCCAAGCTAAGCTTAGCCCTAAGCTGCCCCCTAAATGACAACATTGGATCTCGTAAGGCAATTTGAAGGTCAAGATAAGCTTAGCTTGGGCTTAGACTTAAGCCTAAGCCTAAGCTAGGTATCGTTAAAGCTAAGTCAAGCCTAAGCTTAAGCTGAAACCAAGTAGGTTGAGCGGAGCGCCTCGTAACCTTTTACTAGCAATTTCGGACTGCCCCCTCCCCCAACTGCATTAGCACCTGTTTTTGTAATGGTTGTATCTTCTATACAAATTAACTGCAACCTTACCAAATGCCAAGCCTAAGCTTGAGGGCGTCAGGCAAGGTGGGCCGTCGCTTCGGATGGGCTGCCGCTCCACTCTTTCGAAATCAGGGCGCCTGGGCGCTACGCGCTCCTCGGGCGCCCCGATTTCGAAACCCTGTACGAGCTCGCACCCATCCGAAGCGACTAGGCCCCGGGTGGCACGAAGCCTTTTTCTAGTCGCAGAGCGGAAGAAGTAGCGATTACTTTCCCCCAAACCGAGTGACTCCTGTCGCAAGACAGTATTCTTACGTTTCTATGACGAAATTCCGATGCAGTGCAAAAAATAACCAACAACAAGCACCGCGCCGCAAAATTCGGCCGCAATCTTCGCGCCGCAAAATTCGCGCCGCAAGATCCGTGCCGCAAAGTTCGCGCCGCAAGATTCGTGCCGCAAAGTTCGCAGCCGCAAAATTCGCGCCGCAAAAGTACGCGCTGCAAAAGTACGCGCCGCAAAGTTCGCGGCACCGTTTCTGCGCCAGCATTTGCCCCTCATATCTGTTTGATGACAACGGGTGATGCAATTAATTTGAATCTGAACTATATAAATCGCGATGATGGATCCTGCTACCCTCCCCCCCCCCCGCTAACCTTCCAGTCCCGTGTACAGTAAAGGGTTTTTGAGCAGGAACATATTTAAAGCATTTTGTTCGCAGCTGTTTTCGACAGTGTAATCAATCAGAATATTTATGACACAAACGAGCGTTTTTGCTCCGCAAGAAGCTCACATTCAAAAGCCTACCAACGATCCGTCGCCGTCCTGTCGCGCGTTTTTGACATACACATGCTTGCTATAGCAGAAGTGTGGCTCGGATCGATGGCTTTCAAACCAAAATAAGATAGACACCATTGAGTTTCGTCGGCGACGCAAAAATGAATGGGGGAAAAGGGCAGAGATGTGGGAATTAATTTCATCTGGAGGATGTAGCTGATGGGATATATAGTCTCGGAAAGCGTAAATATTACACTTCCCAAATGCTCAAAAGATTGCTCAAGCTGAATGCAGATCTAATCTTCGGAATCCAGGACGCGTTTAAGGATTTGGAAGGGGGCCCCATGTCTATACAACACAACACTTCATTTTGACCTCGACACACTGGCTACGGCTTACAGATGGATGGAGGATCAAAAAAATTGATCTCCGCCGCCGTCTTTGGAAAACTGTTTCGCATCCTCGTAGAAGCTCTGCTTGATCTTCGTAATTTCGTCCGCGTCCCCCTGAAAAGGACCAAATATCAACGCATCTACGAATGCCAGCGCCGCGAGAGCTTTTTTTAAAGGGGAGCCTGGATAAACCCGTACCCCGAATTGGCGGAAAATTTGCACACAGCTAGAATCGACCACGCTGAAGATCACCTCATTGTCCAAATTTGCTGCTGATCTTTAAAACTCGAAATATTATGTTTTAGTGTATGTGTTTAGTGCTCTAGACGGTGTCTTACAGCAGTTTTGATTGGGCTCTTTCTCACCATTTCTTATACAAAAATTGGAATTTTTCCAGTTTTTCCGGTTTTCCCGGTTTCCGAAAATTTTGAGATAGAGGGCTCATTCGGAAAAGATTTTTGAACACGCTGGCTATCTTTATTTTTGCAAAATCGGAGGTGATGATCAAAATTATCGATGCTGAAGTTTGATAATTTTAACAAATAGATCGCTTTAGGAGTGACATGTCTCTAGTTTTACAGACCGGCAGAAAATCTGGAAAACGAGGTGGTGATCAGCATGGTCGATTCTATCTGTGTGAATTCTGATCCGCGTCGTTTATTAGGGCTCCCCGAGTTAGCAGGATTCCAAAATCTTAGGCACTAGTTTTACGGTAAATTTCGGCATAGACTCTCCATTTTTTAAAATTTGTGCTTCGATGTAGTGGTTAGGAAATTGCGATAACCGAATGTGGACAGCCCACGAATAATATCGACACTTACGGATAGCCCCGGAGTGGTGTTGGTACCGAGCGGGGTTATTTCAGCAGGGCCCTGACTGTCGCTCGTCGTCGGCAAAGGATTCTAAAAAACTGGATAGATAGGAGGCAGGTGAATCTGCAATTTTCCGGGCCGGTGCAACCTACAGCAACCCGTAACACGCCTAGGAGGAACCTAGCTTCTACAGGCTGATTTTTTGGGACACCCCGTAGACAATGCTTGTTAAGAAACCTTCAACCACCAATTTAAACGCTCCGTAAACGCCTCATAAAGTTTACTACTACGCGCCAAAGACAGCTCGTTGCTTAATGAAGACAATATCCAAGATCGATTGATGCTTTGACAGTACCAAAAAAACCAAAAATTTGGCATGCTCCGTCATTCCATCCGCTCAACTTTTCTTATTCAATATAAAATTCCCTTGCTTTTTTTCGGACCGAAATTTCGATTTTCGGATGATATCGAATAGCACTCGCGAATACCTACAGTAACCCTATGATCCATATGATTGTCCGTGTGTGTGCCACGTTTCATACAACTGCGGTCTGTCTGTCCGGAGGACTCGATAGTAGATGTGTTTTAAGGTATGTATGATACGCCAACGTACTAATCCGTAATGGCGCTGAGATGCTTGCTCGCCTATCATGTTTTACAAAAGCAGCCGTTTTCGGCGTTAAAGTTAAATTTTTATAAAATTTGCGGTTTTGCTAGGAAACGATTAGCATGTTCCGGAAGCAGAAGAAGCCCATATATTTCGCGAGAGGAAGCGCCTGACATTTTTTTGGCATTAGAATTACCGAATGAAGGAAAGTGTGGCACATCATGGGATCAGATGGTGCCAGGGTTGCGAAGGTTTCAAAAAGCTTTTCAAACCTGGGCTTTTATATTAGAGATACTGAGTCCCTCTCCATCCCCTCCCCCTCCCCCCTTCCGTATTTGTAAGATGTAAAGGTAGGATGGCGCCGATAGAGTTTGAGTTACTTGATAGAGTCCCAACCTGACTGCCAGGTCCTTGCGTGCCGTTCGCGCCCTTCGGAGTGCCAACGGGTGATGGCTTTGCGTCCTCGACACTCGCACCCATGGCAGCACCCGCTGCAGGCGCTGCACTGGCTGGCGTCATCGTCGCATTCGTTGGCGTTGGCGCCGACATGGGCATCTCGGTACCATTGCCGTTCGGATGCGCCTGCGTCGGGGTACTTTCACCGGCGATCGGTGTATACTAGGTGTTCATGGAACCCGAAAATTCCATTGACATACCATGCTCGCCGAGCTTGATGGTAGCATCATCATATTCGGATTTTCAGGGGCCGGTGGCATCTGCGAAGGCGACGATAAGGTTCCCTGAAACAATCGCGGGTTTTTTCGCATCATCAGGGGGAACCGAGATTTGTTGTGCAAATGTGGGAATGGCAATTAACTTAATAGGAAGTATTTTAATAGTTTCTTTAGCAAAGTTTCTAAAATTTTAGCGAAGATGAAATGTTCGTCCAAAAACCTCCATTTTTGTCGAAAATTCGATATTATTTTTTGTATTTGTGATAATAAAACGCAATCTAATTTTTAATGGAGTTTTTGCGTTTAGTAATAATAAAAAAGTCTTAGAAAAACGTCCGCTATTCATACTTGAAAATTCGGATGCTGCGAAAAAAATTGGTTACCCCCACAAACTTTTCCCCCTCCCTCTCGATGATGCCGAAGAACCAAAAATGCTTGTTATAAAATGGCGCAAAGGGGTAAGAAAAATGGCTGTGAAAAATGCGTACCATGCCGTTTGGCATCATCTGTTGGTGACCAAAAGGCTGTTGCTCCATGAAGCGAGGTTGCATCGCCGATGGTCCAGGTCTCATGGCCTAAAAAGGATTAGTTTAAGCATATGGGTTGGTTAAAAGCAATAGCGAAGTGTCCCAACAAAAGATACGACCGGCATTTTGCTGCCTTGCATCCCGGCGGACTCAAAGTTTGAACATAGGTCGTATCAGACCTTAAATAACAACGAGCATGAATTGTTGTCCCATTGCGACAGCAGATTTTGAGTTGCCGCAAAAAATAAACTGCATTTGGCATTTTTCATATGGCTCCCCTGAAGATCAAGAAATAAAATCGGCAGACCTTCTTCACCTTAAGTAATTTTTCCGTACCAAAATTTATAAATAAACGTCAATCTTAACGATTTTACAACGCAAAATTATTACCAAGATCTTGAGATAAACCTAGGAATTACGGAGAAACGGTATTTCATTGTACCTCGCGAACTACCTGAGCAATCAGTTCATCGCTCAGGATTGTGGTTATTTGGGGTGTGATATGCCTGGGAGCCAATTTCGGGGACCGACAAAAATATCGAGAAAAAGAACGAGATGTGCGGCCTTGTTTGGGACAGCCTTCAAGTTTTTGGACAATTTTGAGGTTACGAGGTCACTCGAAAGAGAAAAGTTCCTTGAATACGATGGCGCAACTCATTTTGGGAAATCGGCTGGGAAGATCAGAATAATCGGGCTAAAAACTCCACGATTTTTCGGCAAGAAAGAGATTAAAAGCTCCACAACTTTTCAACAAAGACTTTTACTGCAGTTTCTGAAAACTGGATTGGGAATTTACATTTTCCATCCTGACCAAAAACACATTAGTTAAGTGGTTTTCGACCGAGGCGCGGTTGTTCTTCACGATTTAACTGGCTGGCATACTTACCTGAAATCCGGCCGGCATGCGCATGGGTCCTGGGGGCATTCTCTGTGTCGGTGGCATCCCTGGTGGAAACATCGACCCGAAATTCGCCATCGCGCTTCCGCGTCCGGGTGGAAACCTCACAGGGAAGTTTCCCGCAGCCCCTTAAAATTGTAAATTGCCGCCGCCGACTCCCAATTTCGAAGTAGCGTTGCCAAGCACAGTAAATTTTTGCTACATATTATTTACTTGATGGACCCGGAATTGCACAATCACTTGAAGATTGGGTCGTGGGGGTCGGTCAAACGCTTTGTTGTTACTACGTCTAATAACAGGGCGGAATCTCTCAATGTTGCATATAAAGTTTCAAATTTTATTGGCAAATACAAAAAATATAGATTTTTCGACTAAAAATGGCCGCTTTTCGACCAAAATATCGACCTTTGAAAATTTTTTCTGGTTTTTGGATAGTTCTTCTTGTTAAATTATAGATTTAGTTTACTAAAAACTATTATAATTGTTCCGATTAAGTTAAAAGGCGTTGCTCGATTCATGCAAAAAAGGTTTAACGAGTGTCCAACGAATGCATCAACGCGATTGAGGACTACGGGATGATAGAGATGCCCTCATATCCTAGATTCCTATTTTCCATGTCGGAATGTCATATGAGAGCCATTTAGAAAGAATAGCTATGGGTAACGAGGTCGAAAGACTGCATATTACCTGGCGCCATCATGCCATCCGGTTGCATACAAGGATTGGCGGGAAATGGCGGGACTGGGCCCCCATGCATGCCGTTCATCATCGTCGGCGGATGGGGCGGCGGTGGATGGAATTGGTTATCACCGACAAACTGGAAAAATATAAATATCCAAAGTGCCTGTTTGAAGCCCTGGAAAAAGCTTGATCAACAGCCCTCAAATCCAACTCAAAACTGCTTCTACTACTCAAAATGCATTGGGTAGCGTCTTTTAGGCAAAGGCTCATTCCAAATACAGTATCTTTTAATAGAAAAACTTCCAAATTTTCCCGAGATTGCGCTTAAGGAGTAAAAAAATGCTAAAAATGTTCTTGTCTAGGTTCCGTTATTGTGCTGCTGAGGGGATGCGAGCCGTTTGAACTTCTAGAAATCGTTGTAATTGCTCAAAATCAAAAACGATATAAAACCCTCGGGTTATATTATAGGAGATACGGTAAATACGTTAAATTAGGCGTCTCGCCTTGATCAATCCTAACCAAGATGCCCTGCAGTATTTGGATACACTTACCGATTGATAAAAATATTTCGCCTCGGAGCTGTGCGGGTTTTCATCTCGCCGCTCCGGAGCTGCACAGTAGAGATCCCAGAAAACCCTGGAAAAGGACGATGAGCAAAATCTAGTCCAGACTCACAGCCACCAGTTTTGAAGGAAGCCGGGAGGAGGGTCGTTGACTTGCGGTGTCTTCGAATTATGCGTATGCTGAAGCGGGGGGTGTACTATTTTGATTGGCAGACCCTCACCGCAAGCACCTCGGCCTTGAAAGATTCGGCGGTCTTCGTGGCACCAGTGTGAACCAAATATTCATAGACGTAGGCCGCAAGTCTGTAATAGTTACAAGGATGACCGTTTTTGGAGATGTCGACGTTGGGGGAGGGACATTGGGCTTAGGTTTAAGCTTAGCCTAACCTTCGTTTAGGGCGACTTAGCTTTGGCGTAGACTTGGTTTTAGCATCATGTTTAGCCGCGGCCTAGCTTCGGCTTGGGCTCAAGCTTAGGCTTAGGCTAAGGCTAGCTTAGGCTTGGAGACCAGATTATGAGCCTAAAAAATGCCCCCCCCCCCACCCAATAGCTCCCAAGTTTTTGCTGAACTAAATTCCCCGGTTAAATTCACGATCGAAAATCTTCGAATTAGTATCTCGGCGACGGACTTACTTTTCTTTTGCGGCGACCTCATTTGGTGAAGCCTGAACCGGATGCATTCTCGCGGCCGGACCCCCAGCCTATAAGGTACGTCAAATTTGAATAGTATTGTTGCAACGACGTTCGGCAACGGATTGACAGTGCCCTAGATTTTCGAGTTTTCGCTATTCTTGGTTATTCTTGGTACGTAGCTTACGCTTTTGATCCTAGGTCAAACACTATAATCTACGAAACTTGGAGCAAAAACAAAAACTGAAACTGGGGGTTGACAAGTTAACTTCAGAGATTTTCGAAATTTTTCGACATAGAACATCGAAAATCATATTAAGAGTTTTGTTTATGCAAAAAATGGAACCTAAGGGATGAAGTTACCGATAGATCCCCCCCCCCCGCTCTTGATAGAATATTAATAGAATGGTCAAAGATCAGGGCGAAACACAACGTGAAAGTCGGAAGAACCGGTATACAATTTAATTCTGTCGAAGTTTACTTGTCCGGGTGATTTTTTAAAATTGTCGACATCATACGATTTGTTTCGCACCGTTTTTCAAAAGATATCCCAGCTTGGGGTGCATCAAAATCACCGGCCGAGTAATTTTTGGGCAGCGGATTTTTCGCTCCAAAAGTTGCAAGTTACCTGTGCGGACGGTGCGCTGTACATAGATGGGTCAGTGGGGCATAGAAGTTGGCGCGTAAAGCCAGAAGCTCTGGTCGGTGCGTGTCGGGGGGAAGCAAGTAGGTGCTGGCCGATATCCAAATTCCAACTATCGATCTAGCGTCAAGTGGATGGTCTCGCCGCGGGGCGGGTTGGCCGGTTGCCAACCGGGTTGTATGCTCCGGCGAAAGCACGATGAAAAACGCCCGAGCCCGTGGACAGGGGTGTGTAATGAAAATGATGACTTGGTGGAAGGGCAATCTGCAAGTTTGAAACCCCGGTGTGGGTTCCTTTTGTGGAAGATGCACGAGAGACCGATGGTCTTAAAAGCCTTCCCGAAAGCATCAAGGGAACTGGCAGACGGTAGCAATAACAATAAACATAGAGAACAGGGGAAACCAATGCTTAAATATTTTAAATTACTTAGGAGTTTGAGAGTGTCATTCGATAGAGCGTCGAAATCTATGCTCAGTGCAAGAAAATTATTATTATGAGCACGAAAAAATCCAATAGCACATTTTTCCAGCACAAAAAATCTGATTTAAAACTACGGGCACCAGATAGGCTATAAGTGGGGTGAGAACCCATTTCCAACATTTGAAATATTAAAGATATTTTGAAAATACATTAACATAAAGGGTCCAAAACATTAAAAGCTTTTTCAATTGTCCGAAAAACCATTTTCGAAACGATTTTTCTTTCTTCTTTCTTTCTTATGAAAAAACACTTATCTCCCCCCATTATCCTATGTGTACTGCAATAAGCTATAGCTCAGATTTCTTAGGACTATTCATGTTGTCAAGGTTTTTCTTAAAACGGCATCCGCGTGACCGGAAGCAGCAGTCTCCATTCGAAGAGGTTAGATAAAAATTAAAATCGGGCACGAATAGAGGTATCTTCTATTTTTTTACAGCCGAATTCTACCTACAGCTATGCACAATCAGAATCCAGCGTAAGACGTTAGGACGACCTTCAAAACAACAGCAATCAACAGCCGTAAAAAATATAAGGTCTTTGGAACGGATGGTGTTGTGTAATGGGTATTCAACCCGCAGGCAGAAGTGACGACCCATACATTGTCATATTGCAGACGTGTTGGCTTTATAACAAAAAATGACTGGCATGATTGGCGCTGCAGGACCGCGAAATCAGGCTAGGTGGCTGCACTGTGAGCTCCGAACTGTTGCAACAGATTGCTGTTGTTATGGCTCCATTCATTAGCCCCCAAATCGCGAGCCGTCAAAAGCCCTGCGAGGAAATGCTCGGCCGTTCAGAGCGAGTTCTTCGTTGCGCCGTGTCCACACAGCTGTTCTTTCCCTCTTTCATATGCCGTCGAAGCGTTGTGACGCCCGCAGTTTCACCCCCCACACACACATCGGCCCCTAGGATTCCCCGGCTTTTTTAATTCTATATTATTACCCAGTTATGTCGCATATTGTCAAACAACGAAATAACTAGGGTTGAAAAGCCGCTTCACGACGTTCCAATCTTGGCCCCGTCTCAAGCAATAATATTTTTCACTCTGCATAATAATTCGGAATTCCGATTAAAGAAAATGCGAAGCGCTCTCTCCGTCCCTTTATATAGGTTCCCGCATTTCAGTAAGATTCTAATTTTGTCATAACCAAGCCGGGTGGTCGAGATTTTCACAAAATGGCCTGACCCTCGCCTAGTTTTTCCCTCTATGGGCGCGATTTTCAGCATCCGGGTTTCGATCGGGATTCAGTGTCAGAGTTTTTAATCCGGTTAGGCTTTCGGCAGTACGGGAATCCGATTTTTCGGGATTCAGATTTTTTGGTAGTCAGATTTTCGGGAAGATAAGCAAACCTCTCTCCTGCCACATTGACGGAACTTGCGTGCAAAGTGGCACAACACACACATAGATACGCTATTTTTTTAATAGTAGGGTAGTAGGATCGCTGCCCAGAAAACTGATTTCGACACAAGGACCTTGCTCTTTCGTACAAGGAGCTAGGCTTATGACGAAGTGCAAAAAAATAATGATTAGGTGCTTAGGCCCATTTCGCAAAAAAATCCTTTTTGGGAAAGTAGTACCTATCTTCTATTCTTTTAAAGTAGGTCAGCAGTCATTTTCGACTAAACAGGACACTGTACAAATCTGCATTCGAAACCGCAGCTTGAAACGCTCTACTTTAACCTTTTTCCGCCACGAACCGATTGCATTAGTCGATTTTCAGAAAGACGTCTGGCACCATGGCGCTGCAATGGATCCTGGCGAAGGTTACGGGTGAAGGTAACTTTCCCCGCAGTGAATGGTTCAGTTTGCGTGCTTATTTTGCCAAAATGTTTGCGGGTCCTCTACCCATACTCGATATATAAACGCATCAAAAGTACCCTATGCAGCGCATAATCTAGCAAAGCGGAAACATTGATGTTTCGCCCCCATAAAATTCAAGATTTTTATGCGAACCGGCACCAAGTGAAACTGTGAGAATTGGGGGTGGATTTGGTATACGCATCCTTCAGCGCTCCAGTTTTTTATGTTAAAAATGAGGATTTGTCTAAGTGGTTGTCTAGAGGGTGTCCCATAAAAAAGCACCCCTCCGGCATTTTGCCATATTACATCCGATCGGTCCCAAAATTCGACCAGGGGTGTATTAGACCCTAAATAATCACAATCCTGACTTATAGCCAGCCAGCTACAGTAATTTTCGAGACACAACGAAAATAAACTTTATTATTTGTTTTTCATAAGGTTTCCGTCGGAATCGACCCTTCGATTATTAAAGGGCTGCCGACGGCATGTGTCGATCCCCCCCCCATCACCAGATTGGCAAGTAGCCAATAGGGCAAAGAGCGCGCCCTGGGGAGAGGCACAGAGACATTTTCTTTCCAGCGCGTAACCGATTGATTATGCCGTCGGCATCCCTTTAAGTGAAAATAAAACGGCAAGTCTTCTTTACCCCTAGAAATTTTTCCTGATAAAAATTAATTAAATAAACGTTGATTTCAACAATTTTTGTGACCCAAAGCCACCCCGATATTAAACGAAATTAGGGATTCGCAGCCGGAAGTTGATGCAAATCGATGCAAAGTCCAAAAAGATAGCCGAAAAAACCGATAAGAATCGCGTAAAAATAGTATTTTGGCGATAACTCGAAAACTAGTGTAGCGATCGGTCTATAACTCAAGAGTGTGGCTATTTAGGATCTGATACACCCTTTTGAAAGGCTGGGACCTATCGGATGTAATACAGCGAAATGCCGGAGGGGTGCTTTTTTGGTAACCCTGTAGGTGACGCGATAACCCGACGTCTCGGTTGCAGTATTAGGTGTAAACATTTTTTTGCCGACTGATCTGCCCGAAGCAAAGTTTTAAAGTTTTGCCGGGGAGCCCATGTTTAGAAAGGCGTTTTTGAGCAATTTCGGACGCATGGCGTGTATCGTGGGTCCGATGCCTTGCAGGTGAGTAGACCAGAAGAGTAGACCGCGCGAAATTGTTGTGGGAATGCGAGGTGGGTGTATGAGGAGTGTTTGTCTCCGATCTCGACGCATCCGGCCGATTGCTCAGGCAAAGGCATCACTGCCGTACCCACTCGACGCTTCACCACCATTTTTCGATTGGGGGCTCACCGGGTTACTGACGGATTTTGGCTGCTATTTATTTTTCGATGGCCTTCGCCCCTTCATTAGCATTATTTTATTGCTAGCCCAGGCCCGTGTTATTACTATTTGTAACTTTCCAGCTCTACCGCAACAAAACTTGGCAATCAGGCGCCCGTTCGGGGAACTTGACAAGTATTCATATGGGCATCTGCGTCTTTGTCTCTTCTCCCCAAGCCTAAACCTAAGCCATACACACCTCAGCTTAATCAGGAGCCTAGGTCTAAGCCTGAGCCTAAGGCTAACCCAACCCTAATTGTAAGTCTAAGCCTAGGCCTACACATCAGCCGAGACATCGGAAGGTAACTTCCTGCACGTGCGCTTTAAGCCCAGCCCTAGTTTCAACCCGACATTTCTGATCACAGTGACTGCAGTGCTTTTCGCCAGCATTTTTGTGCATAACCTGATTTCCTACTGCCTGACCCCTGGCTCCCAGAAATTCCACCTACTCATGCTCGCGAACGCAAGCGCTTTGGGCGGCTGGGTAGATTTGAAAGCGGAGCAGTGAAGGCGAGTGTTGAGACCCGGAGGTTAGCGCAAAAAAGGCCAGCAAGAGAGGACAGTTGTCTGGGGGAATATGTCAACTCTTTCACACGGGCCTTCACCACTCATTCGGGTGGCGAACAATCGCCATCAGTGCCAAAATATCAGCCCCGAGATCGATGAGTTATGGAGAGGCGGCGGTGCCGATAAACAGTAGCGGCGCAAGGAATCGTCGGCGACCGTCTAATATTAGATTTTGCTTTCGTCGTAGCGTCCTGCTGACCAAAGAAAATACATAAGGTCTTATTCCTATTTTGCAACTCAGAACCCATGATAGTCGTCACGGTTCCGGTTTGTTAGCGATGGGGGAAATTTAACCTCCTAGCTTTAAAATATTTTATTTTTTTTTGGGCACTACAGCATCGCGACCCAGTGGGGCATCAAAAATATGCTAACGGTAACCCGAGCCTAATCCTATTATTTACCTAAATAGGCAAAATTTCGGACCTATCTAAAAGCACCCAGTTTTTAATGAATGCGAACAGAACACGCTAAATTAGCGAAGAAAGTTGCAAAAAATTAGCCAAGCATTTTTGCAGCCAGATTCCCGCCTAGTGAGAAAAAGAAGAGTTGCGGATGCACCGGCTTCCGCGCGGAAGCGCAATTAACACCTAGTACCTGGTTTGAAAATGGGCTACGGTTTACTTTACCCCCCCAGCCGGACGTTTTTGGCTATAACTTTTTTATTTTACACCAGGGTTGAAAAGCCGCTTCGCGACTTTTCAACCCTGGCCCCGTCCAACCCAATGAAAGTTTACACTTTGCATAATTCGGCACGGCCCACGCTGAAAAAAGTGAAAAATGCGCTCTCTGCTACTTTATATAGGCTCTCCCCATTTCCGGTATATGCTAATTGATTCCTAACAAAGAAAGTCTTCAATTTTGCAACAAAAAACTTAAATTTATAGCGAAAATAGGTAATTTTGTTAAATCTCATGCGTGTGCATTCATCTCCTGACCATTACGCACCTAATGACGTATCAAACATACCCCTAAGAACTTCCCTTCTTGAGATACTACTGGAACACGGTGACGGAAGTTGTATGCAAAGTGGCACAGACACACACACAAACACTATTTTTTTATATATAGTAGGATTATTGTAGGCTCAAATTAAAACTTATATTTTTCGACGCTCTATCGAATGGCGTTGCAAAAATCCCGACAAAATAAGCGAAAATAGACAACTTTGAGACCCTTCGGCTGTGGGGGGTAAAGTAAACTCTTACCTGAAAATGTACCCGTTTGGGCTTGGCAGTGAAATTCTGATCGACTGAACCTTCCATAAGTGGATTTCACGACAATCTTAACGCACAATTTAGGCGAGTCGAAAGGTGACGTTGGAGCAAACGGGTCGTTGCTGACGAAGACGAACGAGGCCACACAAGGTACCAAGCTTCGGCTATATGATCGCAACCCCCAATGGCCTATATTTTGCCATTATGGGCTCGGGCGCGACCAGTAGTTACGAAACATAGGGTGCGCTTCTATGTTCTCTCTCGATTATAGCGCTTGCCGACACGAGGGTTACGTTTTGCCACGACAACAACGACACGTTTTTAGAGCGTGAAGCGTCTTTCGATCCCGAGCTTACGCTGGACCAAATCATGGCGCAGGTCAAAGTGCAGATTGGTGACGAGCAATTGGATCTTGGTGATAGCAATGATGGCGAGGTATCGTACCATACTTAAATTAATAATAAAACTGTCATTAATATAATGCACTGGTTAAAATGATTCGTGGACTTCGGAATTTTGCTGAATAATCTTTAAATTTTGTATTTTCATGTATAAATCGGAGAAAACACATTTCGCGCAAAAAGAAACGATGAGGGCCATCGAATTACCAGCCTTATCTTTAGCAGTTCTCTGCCCCTTTAGTGGCGTTTAGGGGAGACACTTGTCTTTGAACGTACAACTCGCTTCAGATATCGAGACGAGAGTCCCTGGGTCGAAGGCAATCACATCGCCGCTCGTTGCGCACCACGTCGGCCCTCGACGTCTTCAGGACTAACCTTGATAATCAGGGCGAGCAGCAATCCAAGGTTTATTGCAATTTAAATCCATTCCGAACGCACCCACTCCGCGAATACAAGGCGCCGCCGCCTCCTCCCAGAACACGTTTTTCTTACAAAAACAAAATTTATGAATTTTTCGCCGCGACATCACAACTACACCTTTTTGACAACCATCTGAGAAAACACAGCTAGGATTGCGCCTAAGTCGATGCTCAGTTTTTTTTGGAAAAGTGTGCAACATTAGCATGAAAAATGCCGAGAATCGAGCGAAAAATTCCGGAAGCCGGTGAATCGGCAATTACATAATCTTCAGTTTGTCGAGAGCTAACACCTAAATAGTAATAACCCCTGTGGGCCGAGATGCAGGGTACTTTTGTTACACCTTGTACGAATCAACCACGGATTTTGTGACTGCCATCATCAAGAACTCTTTCAGATCAAGAAAACCCAGTCGACACGCGAACCCGGGTTGCGCTCGATGCTTTATGGGTTGACGCAAAAACAGTGAGTCGAGTAACCGTCATCTTAAAAAAAATTGTAGAAAAAAGGAGGAGCAGCAAGCACGGAAACTGATGCGGAAGCAGCTAGGTGAGCTGTCTTATGAGCCAGTTGTCCCAACGCTCCGCGCAACATTTTGGCTGCAATTGCCTTGGGACACGGGGACGGAGTTTTTACACTATTTTCAAACGCAGAGACTTGTTGAATTCATAACGATCCCAGTTGTGGCTTCTGGATTACCCTAACTAGGGAATACTGGTCTCGACGTGATCTACAAAAGTAGCAAACTTGCAATCCGAAATTCAAGGCCGAGCGGAGACCATTCCCTAGTAAGGGGACGCCATGCAACGATTCTATAAGGTACGGCCTGTAAACAGTCGTGGCTCCAGAAACTTTGCGCAGCAATGAGATGGCAATCAACATATTGGCCCAACTATAAGCGCTGAAGTGAAGGGCGCCGAGCAGCTGGCACACAATATATTCAGCTGAAAAATTATTTGCCGTAGATTCAGGCTTTTTTGGTGGCTGAGGCGGGCTGGCCGGTGGCGGCCAATTCCCTCGGGGCTCATTGAGCGTAGCCGATCTTCCAGCGAATCTTGCTGGCCCTTTTTTCAGCCCCGATTTCCCAGGGTGCCCGAGGCCAGGCGTCTCATGGCATGAAAACTAGTCCCCTTTCGCCGAGACATATTTGTATTTTTTTTTTGTTGGGTTGTTGTATTTTGCGATTTGTTACTCACAGATTGCCCACCTGGATGGGCTAGTTTTCTCGGACGCTATTATGCGCTTCCGGCCTGAATGAACGCAATACTTATCCGATGATACTATTTATCTGAACGCAATATTTATCTGATGATGCCTTACGGTCGATTTCATGGGCTACGGAATCGTCACGGGCGCAACATGCTATGCGCAAAAATCACGCAATGGAATGTATCTCAAAAACATCGGTGTTAATTCCCTGCAAGGCCCCTTAAGCTCTACGCATATCTTTACGTGCACTTTTATTCGAATACGGTTCTAACTAACAAGGGAAAGACAAGAGGTGAAGATGGTATTTCGAAATGATACCAAGTCGATATTGTGCAGAAATTAGAACTGATCACGAAATCAGTTTTACATTGTCCGGACTGGCCATGTTTAGGAAGTTACGGTCCATTCTTTTTTAACACGAATGTCCCGAAACTGGGACCCTAGAGGTCCTCTAACAGGCCATGGAACAGATTTTTTCAAATCTTCAATAGGGACTTAGTTGTGAAAAACGTGTTTTTTTTCTAGCTAAGCAACAGTTTACTCTAAATTTACGAAATCGCCGTAAATTTACAGGGGCCTGTGGCCGATGCACTGCCAGCTTGAAGAAGGCTTTTCTCGAGCTAGCTCATCCGAAAGCGCACGTTTTTCTCAGCCAGATTCATTTTTAAGTTTTGCAGGATATTGTTTGTTTGGCTTTTAGAGGGACTCTAAAGTCCAAATTTCGGGAAATATTTTTTCGATTTTTAACCCTTTTGCGATATAGAGAATCCAATAGAGGAACTTTTTTTGAAAACGACGGCCATATCCATTTTTGAGAAAGCAAACTAAATGACGCTTAATTTCGCAAATTTGGCAAAAATGGAGCTTTGGGGCGCTTTAACTTTTTAAACTCTGCTATTTAGTAAACCTGGTAACCAGATTGATTCCGAATCAGCGACAAGTTCGGCACAAAATATGCTGGACCCGATACCGAGACGCCACCATGAACTTAGAAAGGTTCCTAGGTTCCTGGAATGGAGCTTCTCGGCTCCTGCTTGATTCGCCGTACCGCCCCGCCCCGTCCCCTAAAAACCCATCCGAAACTCAGGCGGCATCCCCTCATCCTCCACCGCCTGGTCCTTCCATCCATTGTGGCTAATTGGGGCCTCGTCGCTTGGGAGGAGCGTCAATACGTAGTGGATGGACAAGGGGGGGAAGGAGGGGGAGGGGGCACCTGAAGATGGCCATGTCCTCCCATAGATCTTCGTCGCTTCCGAAATAGGAGGGCTCACATCTGGAAAATTTCCCTTTGGCGTCATTCTGAGCGCCATCCTAGCTGGGCCTCGACATCCCCACCAACTACCCCCCCCCCCCCCCCGCCAAGAAAATGGATTAATTTCTTTATGGCTAAAGCTAATTTCATTCTTCAATTACCATTGCCCATCCCGTTAAAGGGATCGGTAAGCTCCACGTAAATTATCGTATAACTGGTTTTATTTCTAAAATTAACATAAATCCCCTCTGCTGCCACCTGCCGCTCTCCGACCATTTTTTTGCATTAGCATTTCAGGTTGGCTAGTTGCCAATTATAGATCGGCCCTGATCTACTGGGCTTCCTGGTCCCTTTAAGATGGCGCAAGGTATTTGTAAGTGTTAATCGATGTTTTCGTGCGTAGGGCTACTGTAAGACCCAGAAGGAAATAAGCATGCTTTGAAGTTCTTTTACTCAAATTCTGTACGTCCAACAGGTTGTTTATTTTACTCATAAATTATTGTATTGTAAGAGTTGGTTCTTTCGCATTATTGGGGGGGGGAGCGAACATTTTCGTATAAGCTTAGAAATTGCTAGTAACTTGATAGAAAGCACTTTAAGATCGACTTTTGGCTACCAAACGTAGCAGCGAGCAATCTAATCTTAAGCCTAAGCCTAACTAAGCCTAGGTCTAAGCCTAGGCTTCATTCTATGCATTTTCGAAAAATAGTCGCCTCCGGTTTAGCATCGTTGCTGCTGTTGTTATACGAGTGCTGACCAGTGGCTTTTTACCCTTCCCAAACGGGGTAGAAGTGTCAATGGCAGATGGCGACTACTCAGAGCCCATTGTCCCACGCATTCTATGCATTTGAGGCGAACCGAGCCGGCCCACGCGCCTTCCAGACGCTTACTGGCCCTGCTCTTACCTCATCCGCATTTCGCCAAACCATGCTCTAGATTTAAATCCTTATTGAGTTGCTGAACTAACGTTTTGTAGCACTCGACACTTTTCCCAAGGACCTTTTCCCATTCCTGACAAAGAGGCACTGCGAAATTTGCCCAAAAACTTAATTTTACTATCGAAAACAGCTGATTTTAAAAAATCTGACAGGTGTGCGGTCGTGTCATGAACATTGAGCACCTAATGACGTATAATACATACCCTTAACTGCTTTCTTTATTGAGGTACCAAGGGAACATACCACAAACACAGACACACAAACACTATCTTTTATAGATAGTAAGATGCCATTTTGCGTTCAGACCCGATAAGCTTACAAGGAGACCATCGCGTTTTGAGATGGCACCAAGCTTACATTGTGGAATTTTTTACTCTGCTGATTTTCAGCATCTGCGAAACGAGCATATTGAAAAAATTACCAAGCCACAAATCTGAAATACATGAAAGTGTGACAAATGACAAGAAATAACCAATTTGGGCGGGCTTTTCGCCCGATCAATTTTCATAGCAGTCTTATTGTGGTCGTTTCGCATCATTTTCGCATTTTGTCGAAATTCCTTTTGGTCCAAAATCATTTCCAATCCATACCAAAAACGCATCCGTAATCCAGAGCCCATCTACGCTAATTTCCGCCTCGGTAGTATTTATGTGCTTTCTCACACCACCATCTCTATTTTCGACGAATCGATTTATTCTTCTAGTATGGGATGGAGGAGGAGAAGGGGGCGCGACCTCAGCACCTAGCTGTACACCGAAGCCCACCACCGAGACTGCTAAAAGTTCGGTCCATCGATCGTTCTCCGTCCACAGCCCGGCGCGTCCTGATAGGTAAATGTGATGTTGCCAGGAAATCTGCCATTATCTCGAAAATACATCTCGAAAGTTCAATATCTGGAAGGTTCAGTATCTCGAAAATTCAGCATCTCAAAACTTCATGAATGACTCGAATTTTAGCATGAAATTTCTCAATTCCGGATACAAGCTAGTAAAGTACATTTTCGCGATACTGTACTATCGAGATACAGAACTCTCGAGGTATTGAACTTTCGAGATGTTGATTTTGATAAAATTGGCATCAGCTGAGCCTCTTTTTCGGCTCGTTGGTTCCGGTTTTTTTTCAAATGACTGTAACGGGTGGCAATATTTTCAGTCGAAAAGCGCGCCGTATCGTTTGAATGCGGGAATGGTGCGGACGAGGAGGAGCCGGCGCTGGATGTGTCCGAGGAGGGCCCGGAGAGGAGAGCCTGCCGACATCACAATCGCAGCGGAGGAGGGGCATTCAACCGGGCGTCCACCGCCCCACCTAGACCCCGAATGGCAATCGTCCAACCACCTCCTCCTCCTCCTGGCGCCCACCAACATCCCGAAACGGGCACATGCAGCTCGCTAACGATGCGGAAGAGTCTGTCCGACTACATCCTTGGGTGTGAGTTCCAGCGTCGTGTCGTGATTGTAACCGTCGAAGGGGAAGATGAAAGGCATATCCGATGATCTCGGTGCGAAACGATTGGAGTAAAGCCAGAATCCGCTAATACGACCAACTGATACCGATTCGCAGCGCGCCCTTTTGCGGGGTTCCGATTTCCCCTCAAAAGCCCTTTTCTTAGTTTTCGAGGCAGCGTTCGAAAATTCAGATGCCGGTTCCATTTCCGGGCTCTTTCGCATTATCCGGGGGGGGGGAGGGTGGCGAACTTTTTCGCGTAATCCCAGAGAGGTCTAGTAACTTAACAGGAAGTATTTTATGAATGTTTTTATCAGATATTCCTATCCTCAAACTAACAAAACTACGTAAAAAACTTAAACTTTTTGAAGGAGTCGAAAAGTTGGGAAAAATCGTCCGTTCTTGGTTGAAGAATTAATCAACACTGTATTTTTGTAGATTTTACTTTCCATACACGGTCTTTGTCATCTTTGTTGGGCGGTGGCCCTGAATTGGATGCTCTCCCGGCTCCGCGCCGTCCCACAAATTCTATGCAGATTTCATTTGAATTGACTGGGGTGGGGGGCTGGACTGGAGTGGCCGCGACCCCATTTTGTGTTTCCTCAAAAACTGACTGTGGAAGTCCAAAAAAACCCCATCACCCGATCTTTCTGAAAATTTGCACACGGTTAGAACCGAGCACGCTGACCATCCCCTCGTTTTCCGAATTTGCTACGGAGATTTAAAACTTGAGTAATTAAAGTAGCACTGGCAAATTTTCGAACGATCTGGGTGAGGGGTTAATTGGACATGGTCTGCGCCCTCGGGACTAGAGATGTTACGCATACCGACGCGGCGCCGAGATTACATGCAAACTGGG